GCTTTAGCGGCTACCTCCCAGGAACCAGAAACAAAGGCCAGCCCAGTTCTCAATTATACAAAAGTTAGGAGCCCAGGCTGATGGAGCAGACACCATCTTGAACTTTGCTGCTTGCTCTCTCTGGGAGAGAGAGAAACAGAGAAAGAGAGAAGGGAGAAGGGGAGAGGGGGAGAGAGAGGGAGAGGGAGATCTGGATGGTCTCTGGTGCTTAAAAGCCCTGGCCCAGAAGTGGCATGTTTCTTGTGCTCACAAGTCATTGATCCAAACTAGCCACACGATTTCACCCAACCACAAGGGGGTCAGGAAGTACAATCCTCCCATGGGACTAGAAAGAGGAAGTTAAAAACAAATTATCTGAATGGCCCTGAAAATTTTAACAATATTTTCACTCACATACTAATTTTCTTACATGAATGTAGTCTTTAAACCTAGCTAAAATATTATAATGAATTATCTTATTTGGAAACTCATGATTGTTTCTATAGATTTAACTGTTTTTTTAATGATATAAAGTGATTTCCATATAAAGCATCTGTTTACACCTTTTACTTCCATTAACCAAATTAACTTTAAAGTGTGTGTTGAAAATAGAAACGATAAGTAGCAGAGATATTTTAAATATTTTTCTTTGTGGAGTTATTTCAACAAAAATAATTTTAAAGGGTAAAACATAACCATTTTATTATATTAAATAAAAAACTTGGGTTTGAAAAGCAAATGTTTCCCATTTATTTGCTAAGTAATCTAAGCTGTTATCTAGCTTTATTTTGATATCACAAATATTAAGGGGAATGAAGCAATCAAACTATTAGTCATAATATCATGCAAACACATAGATAAGTAGCTCTTAATATGACTTCAGAAGGTAATGGATTTTTCCTTTGCCAAACAGAATTTATAAATAGATTAAATGAAGTAGGAATCTCAAAAGCAGTATTCAAGATCATTCATCTGACATTCAGATGCTCAGTATATATAACCACTTCTGCATGATGTCAAGGATATCACATCTGTGGGAAAGAATGAAAAGAACTGAGAAGGGAAAAGATGATTATTTTAGAGAACAGACTTGCTTTTGTTTAGAGACTTAGAATAGTTGAATCTGCTCCCTTTCCCCATGCCCCAGGCCTATGTGAATAATTGGTGGGTATTTTACTTCACATCAATCATCACCTAATAAGATGGCACTTCTAAAATCTTCCTGAAATTGCATCATGCTTCCGCATCTACTCTTCTGCTAGGAATTCAAAGAAGGAATGCCTAACTAATCAGGCAGCATGGGAATTTGTAGTTAATTTTGAAAAGATTCTCACAGTATTAGAACTTCGATGGGAAGTTCAGTTATAAAGAAAGAAGACAGCCTCAAAATTAGCTGGGCTCTTCCATGTCGAAAAAGTTAAAAATAACTTAACAGCAACAGTCTTTGAACAGCAGTGTTGAAAAGGATGATGATTTCTATACACTGAGGGTCTAACGTGTGAGTTATATTCACTATCTCTCATGATCATAATAATAGGCAAAATAAATGTTAGGATCGTTAATTTTAAGATGAGGAAATGGAGACTCCAAATAGTAAAATCACTTGATCAAAACTGGATCTAACAGTAGACCACAGTCACCAGGTTTATGCCAAGGACTCTTCTTTCTTTCCAAACATTGGCTTGCTGGAGCTGACCTGTACTGTTATGCAAGGGCCAAGTTTTAAATTTTCAGGGATTTTTCAAGCCATTATTAAAAACTAAATTATATAAACCTACAATCAAATAAATTGCATTTTAAAAGGTAATACTCAAAACTCATCATTTTCTAGTTATTTTTCTACATTTTACTATTATCTGGGTTACTGAGGTTATGACATTTATTGTATCTGTATGGTAGAAATAACACACAGTGGTGCACTGCTGTGTCTCTTTTTCTAGTGCCCCATTCAGTGGCATCATTTCGGTAGCTTGAAAACAGTCACAGTGTGATATTTACACCATGGAAATCAGCAAATGCTATAAACCAGAGCTTGGATTATTGTTCTGGTTCTTTTCTAGATTTAATAAAGTGATAGAGAAAGTGTTAATGATGCAGATTAAACTTAAAAGTGTTCTATGCCGATAGCTATTATGTTGTGAATAGCAGAAATAAATGAGGAAATATGTATTCTTGCAATATTTAAAAACTATCATCCAATTTAGCAAAAATTCACTTATGTCCTTAACAGAATGAGTGAAGTTTCACCATTCACCTTTGATGTTACTCTTTCATCTTACTTCTTAACATAAATGAAAATATCACCCAACATTTATTTCAGAGCTATATTAATTCATCAATTGTGACCAGAATATAGGAGTTTGGCAAAAATCAACAAAAGCATTCTGTGAGAATAACTTGACTATATAGAATTGACAATAAAGTATAATAAAGAGAATGGTATATTTTATTAGTATTTGTAAGTCACATGCTGCACAATCATTAAAATATATTAGAAATATATGTATGTATGTATAGCCCCCACTTTTTTTTTTTTTGGAGACCTGGTTAAACATTTGCCAGAACACCAGAACTTTCAATGTCATGATATTGTCAAAACTTAATGAAACTGCTTTTGCTAAAGTCACCAATTCCTAGTTGCTAAATTCAATTCCTTTCTATTTGATTTCTTTGTAGCATTTGGCACTTATCTTCCAGAACCAACTCTTCTTGGCTTTTTATCACAGTTCACTCTAAGTCCCTTATTTTGATCTCTCTTCTATTTCCTACATCCTCAATATCAGTGTTCCAAAGAGTTCTAGCCTAAGGTCTCTGCTCTTATAATATTCCCTCTTTAGACAATCTCAACTACTAACAATCTCAACTACTAACAAGGCTTAACAACTTACAGTTTGATAACTTGCAAATCTGTATTTCTGACCTAGATATCTTTCTTAGCATTATATGGGCAAATGTACAGATACCCCTAAGTGGATATCTTTTAGCAGCTGCCATAAACTGTTAGTATCTCCAAAACTTCGTGCTGAAACCTCATCCCCAATGTGATGGTATTAGGGGGCGGGGCCTTCGGGAGATGATTAGGTCATGAAGGCAGAGCCCTCATGAATGGCATTAGTGTCCTTACAAAAGAGACCCCAGAGAGCTCCCTCACCCTTCCTGCTGTTGAGGACACAGCCACAAGATGGTCATCTGTGAACCAGGAAGTTGGCCCTCACCAGACACCAAATCTTTTGGCACCTTGATCTTGATTTCCCAGCCTCTAGAACTGTGAGAAAGAAACTTTTGTTGTTTATAAGCCACCCAGTCTATGATATTTTTGTTATAGCAGCCGGAACAGACAGAAATTCTGCACTAAATACGGCCAAAACCTAATATGTTTTTCCTTGCAAATGCGCTCCTTCTTTGTTATTTTCTAATCTGATTAATGGCATATGCAGCCATCCAAGAAACATGTGAGTCATCCTCCAGTGTCAATCAATTATGAAGTCCCTTTATCTGGTACATCTCTCCTTTTCTTTCTAAACCTTAAACTAATGTTTTAATTAGGCTCTAAAATCTGTTGTCTGGACTAGTGTAATGAGTTTCTAACTCTTTGCCTCACACGTACTTTTGAGCACCTATAATCAGTTCAACAATCTACTGCCAGAGTTGTATTTCCAAAATGCAAATGTAATCATGTTATTCTCTTACATGAGATCCAATGTTCTATAGCTGTTTTTCAGTATTTTTTCTTATAGACAGAGATACCTTGTTTATCAAGACCCAGTGTATGCACATATCCAGGTGTGCATATGAACCCACCCACACACACACATACACAACTGATACAAAAATGTAATGAAACAACAGTTATCTTTCTTGTATGTTTGCATCCTGCCATTTGATACTTATTATTTAATTTTTTAAATGCTGGCTGACTACACGCCACTGCATTTATTTTGTGACCTACTAGTGGGATGTGAACCATCAGATTGTAAAATAGTGAAGTAGAAGGAAAAAAATCTGGATCCATGAAGCATAACACACAAAGCCTTTCAAGATCAAAAATAAAACTAGAAAATGTTTTTAAATGAATGGTTATAAAATACAACCTATCAGAGTTTGTTAAATGATTCTGTAAATCTAAAGCTATTCTAAAATAAAGTTCATCAGAATTTTGTTGGATATAGCTAACACACTACTTAGAAATTTAAAGATGAGGCTTAACTAAAAATGGATGTGAGGAAACTTTGGGATGATGTTAATATTCTATACCTTGAAAGTTTAGGCTACACAGATGCATGTATTTGTTAAAATTCAACCAATAGTACTAATATTTGTGCATTTTATTATATGTAAAATTTACCACTAAAGAAAAAAAGGAACTGTAAGAGCATTTTCAGCTATAATTGAAGATATGCATGCTGAGGTCTTTAGGAAACATTATATGAATATATGCAACTTATTTTGATATGTGTAAAACTTTAAGATGTATTCATGAATAGATAGACATGTGAGAAAGCAAGTATAATAAAAGGTTAATGGTAGACTAGTAGGTGGGTCTATGGGTTTTCACATTCACACTCTTGAAACTTTTTAGTATGTTTGAAATGATTCTTAGTAAAATGTTTAAAAAATTGTGCTGTGTGAAGGATTACAGACACAAAGAGTACAGACTGTAAGATTCCATGTATGTGACATTCAAGAACAGTTAACAGTAACCTACGGGGAGGAAAGAGAAAACTGACTGACAACAGGGATGGGAATTGACTAGAAGGGGTAAAAGGAAAGATTCTGGGGTAACAGAAATGCTCTATGTGGTGGTAGCTATACGGGCACACATATTTATTAAAATTCATCACATCTACACTTAAGATAGATGCGTTTCTATATAAATTTTGACTGAATAAAAAAAAGACATAGGTTGTGATACTGATATCAGACATTGAATTCAGAGACAAAAGTACTAAACAACACAATGAAGGGTACTTCATAATGAGCAAGTGAACAATTAACCATGTTGATTTTAGGTTATTAATTTTATGTACCAAATACTATAGCATCAAAACTTACAGCACAATAGAGTCTGACTCCATTACTGCTGTTCAACTGCTGACAGCTTTCACGCACCAGCACTCCTCCTTGCCCATCTGCTCTACATCTGGGCAAGGTGATAAGGAAGTCTGGGTGCTACCTCCTTCAGTGCTGGTGGATAGTTCAAACCATGCAAGCCCTGGCCCACACCGGGAGAACCCTCACTCCAGCCCCATTCCCTAACCACGACGGCAACATCAAGCCAATCTCCTTTCCCTGCCCTGTGAAGCCGTTTGCATTCCTCCTTGGGAATCCCCCAGCTCTCCCTGGAAAGCCTTATTATATAAATGATAAATAAATTATTTCAAACCCTTTTAGTGTATATGTGCTGTCATCAGTCTTTATATTTGTACCAAATTTTGGGTGAGAGGGTCCATCCTATTTCTGTGGAGTGGCCACTTAAAACAGGGCATGCAACAAATAGAGGTCATAAGGGTATCCTTTCATTTGTCTCTTTTGCCCTTGAAATGCCATGTAAACAAACCAAAAAAAAAGTATTTATCTCTTGCTGCATGGCAAAACACCCCATTACTTAGAGGTGGAAAAATAATGTATTATTTCTGACAGTTCTTAGTGTTGACTGAGCTCAGGTGAATGTTTCTCACTAGGTTGCCATCAAACAGCATGGATGGAATCAACTGAAGGCTTCTTCACTTGCATGTCTAGTTCCTGGGCTGGGGGGCTAGAGAAATTGGGAGCTGTCAGTCTCTCCACATGGTTTAGGGCTTGCTCACAGCATGTCATTCTGAGGTTAGTCACACTTCTTACTGGTGTTTGGCTTCTAAGAGGCAGGAGCTGGAAGCTGCCAGGTCCATGATGTACTATGCCTGGAACTGGCATAGTGCCACTTCTGCACAATTTTATTGGTCAAAACAGTAGCGGGCTTGCCCAGATTTAAGAGGGTGGAGAAGCAGGCTTCTCCTTTTGATGGGAAGTCTCACTGCAGAAGAGCACAGAGGATGGGAGTTATTGTTGTGGCCATTTTTGGAAAATACTATCTTTCATAATAAGGGTAAGAGACTGAAATACATACTATAAAGTAGAGCTAGTTGATGTATGTTGTACTCTGTAATCTGAAAACTGAAACCTGACACTATATTCCAATACACATAAAACATTCACGACACTGACCATAAATAAAAATCAATACAAAATAGAAGCAGGGCAGACAACATTTTCTGATCATTATATCTGAATAACAACACTTATAGATTATGAAACTAAAAGTAATATTAATTATCCCCCAGAATATTTAAATGCAATAAAAACTTTAATACTCTACTAAACAACTTGAGTCACAGAGCAAATCACAACCAAAAGGCTGGAATCTCAGGAAAGAACAACAATGAAATTGTTATACATAAGAAACTGAGATACAGCTCAGTCAGAGCTCAGAGGTAAATTCATATAGAATATTAGTGAGGACAGACTGATGGCTGTAACAAATGATCTGCATCTATAATGGCTCAAACACGACACAAGTATATCTCTTACTCACGTAAAAGTACAGTATGGGTGAAGAGCTCATTGGGCTACCCTCTTCCACGTGGTCATCTGGAGTCTCTGGATAATGGGGGTTCTGCCATATTGAATTTCTGGCTTGCAAGGTTTCCCCCGGTGTCATCTCCATTCCACCCACCTAGAGAAGGGCAAAACAGCAAAGAGGAATGGCTAGTGACTTTTTAATGGTGCCAACTCATTTTGGCTCCCATTCCATTGGCTAAAACTCAGCCACCACATAACTGTACCTCCAGGGAAGATGAGCTAAAGGAGCAGACTCTATGTTTGTGGAAGCAATCTTTCAGTTATCAAGTGTTTATTGAGTACCTAGTATTTACTGGGACCTGTGCTATGAATTTGGGGTTTAGTGATGAATATAAATGATACACACCATACTCTCATGAACCTTAGAGTCTAATGAGAAAGCAGGTAAGTATAATAATATGAGTTATAATACATTCATACAATGGAATGTTTTCATCCGTAGAATTAAATGAATTAGAGCAGTATCAACACACATACTTCTTAAAAACACTGTTTAGTGAAAAATAAGTTGCATAAGGTTACATTTTACATGTTAGTTGCACATATATATGTATTATTTAGGAATCTTACATATTAGTGAACTAATGAAGACATGTATATGAGAGATAAATTCAGGAGAGTGGTCAGCACTGGGAAAGTGGAAGGATGAGAGAAGGCAGGACTGTAATTTGAAGGAGTCTGGGTGAATTTAATTGATTTTGTAATGTTTCATTATTTTTAATTTTTATTTATTTTTGACAAATAAAAGTTGCTTATATTTAAGGTATACAACATGATATTTTGATATATGTATACACTGTTAACTAATTAAAACAATTGAACTAACTTCTCCATCACCTCTCATAGTTAGCATTTTGTGTGTGTGTGTGTGTGTGTGTGTGTGTGTGTGTGTGTATGTTGAGAACACTTGAGATCTACTCTCTTAGCAGATTTCTGGTATATAATATATTATTATTATTATTATTATTATTATTATTATTATTATTATTATTATTATTATTAACTACAGTTACCATGCTGGAATTTAGGTTTCTGGAACTTACTCATCTTATAGCTGAAGGTTTGATCAGTAACTCCTCTTTTCCCTTACCCCAAGGCTCTAGCAACCAGCATTCTACTATGTTACTATGAGTTCAACTTTTTTTTCTTTTTTTGTAATGCTTTATTCTTTACCTTGGTCATGGGAACACAGGTGTTCATTATACTTTTCATATTTTTGTATGTCTGAATTTTCATAATGTGAAGAAAATTTTGAGTGCACTAAAACTATAATCTTATGCATATATTCAGTAGTAAATTCATGTATAAGTGCTTCTGTCATAATCACCAGTAAGTATTTATGGAAAACTTTTTTCAAAGAGTGTGGAGAAGACACAACATTTATTATTCACTGGTCCAAAAAGTGATTTTATTATGCTAGATAGGGTCGGAGAGTTTGATTGGATCAGTGGCTCTCATGAGCATCTTCTAGATAAGAAATTAGTTTTTTAATACGGTCAATCTGGCCATCTGTGCTTCTGCGTATTCAGATGATTTCTCGCTAAAGTGTCCCTCAATCCCATTGACAAATTAGTAAATTTTCCCATGGCTAGAGCAAGGTAGAAGTTTCTACTAACTTAGATGGCCATTGCTTTTTGGTGCTGGCCCCAGGGATTTAGGATTGACTGAGAGGCTTAGCGACTGGCCAGCAAGTCACTGCCAGATTTTTTCTTCCGGAATTATGGGTCAAGTAAGTTTTAGCTGAGTGCTTGATGATTCATTCTGGAGAATTCTATTTGATAGCAACTAATACCAAAAGCACCATTAGGTCCTGTTGTTTGAATCCCTGAATGAGCAAATGGAAAAAACAAAGATCCGCTAATACTCTAGTGCTTCTGTTTTTCTCCTTGATAAAGCTTTTCACTTTTGCTCCCTGCTTAATGGCCTTGGCCTCACAGTTTGAATACGAAAACTACGAGGTTGGGGTATTGGGTTGGGAGACATCTCTGATCTTCCTTAGAACGTTACATCGGCTTCCATGCTGCTGCTGTCATACCCATAGACACGTATTTGTATTTAGTAGAGGTAGTACAGGAGGTGCATTGGACAGGCCCTAAGTTTCTGGGTTCTCCAGTTCCTCTGGCTTCTCCCAGATAACCCCATTCAAACCAGTAAAGCAATATAGTGCATGTTTACCTAGTCAGCACATTCAATTTAGTTTTAGAAATTGGCTGCAGCAGAGAGTTTGACTGCTTCAGCTCAGCAAAGTTCATGATTACAGAAATTTCAGCTCAGGAACACTGGTTAAAGTCAGAAAGGGCTTCCTTAACAGAGCTTTCCCCGTCATTCATTGTAGACTTTCAGGTGAACAACCATGGATTTCTGCACTTATTATTTAACGTTTTAAAAAATCTTTCAGCACCCTGGCAGGAAATTGATGGCACACCCAAACTAAGGAATTTGAAAATAAATTAGTAAAGGGACTATTAATACAGGAATGTTCAGGAAAACCAATGATGGAGAGGTTGGTATCGCAGGACTAACAATAACAGACCTAAAAATACAGAGGGAGGGACCTGCTACTGAAACCAGTGGTAGACGTATGGGCAGGGCTGCCTGGCAGGAGCTGTGGGCCTCCACAGCATGACTCAACTATGGTGACGCTACAGAGTTGGAAGTATGGGAATAAAACTCTGAGCTCAATTTTCCTCTTCTGCCCATTTATTTCCTCTCATTGTCAGATCCCAACCAGACACCAAAGGTCAAGGCCAATCCCTGATGCAGTCCATATGACTCAGTCCACCATGGCACAGAGCCTGGTGGTGAAGGGTGGTTCTAAAGGGACAAACCTAAGATATCCAGCATGCTTCCCTCTCTTGCAGTTTTTTTTTAAGACTTTTTTTTTTACAGCAGTTTTAGGTTCACTGCAACATTGAGAGGAAGATAAAGACATTTCCCATATAACCCTTGCCCTCACCACATGCACAGTCTCTCCTATTATTAGCATCTGCCACCAGAATCAGACATTTATTACAAGTGATGAACCCACACTGACATATCACAATTAGTCAAAGTCCATAGCTTACCTTAGGGTTCACTTTTCCTGTTGTATAGTCTGTGGATCTGGATAATGTATGATGATATTTATCCATATTTATAGTCTCATATAGAATATTATTGCTGCCCTACCTATTCATCCCTTCCCCAGATGCCAACCCTCGGCAACCACTGACCTTTTTAGTCTCCATAGTTTTGCCTTTTTCAGAATGTTACACTGTTGGAGTCACACAGTATGTAGCTTCTCAGACTGGCTTCTTTTACTTTGCAGTAAGCTAAGGTTCTTCCATGTCTTTTCATGGCTTAATAGCACATTTATTTTAGCACTGAATAATGCTTCTTGTTTCTTACTGAAGATCACGAGGGTAGCTTACATGCTCTGATACATGGCAGTTTCCTAGAACTCTCTTAAGCTTAAGCCACAGTAGTTACATATGCTGAATCTTATACGCTGCATTCACATCGTCAGTGGTACATACTAAACCTACATTTCCTGTGATTATACATAGTTTCAGAAAATCTAAGAGAGTCTAAATCATGTCTCATTGTTCTAATCCCAAATTCCTCGGGAAGATATTCTTTTGGGCCTTAGAGTGGTTCACGAACAGATTAACTTTGGTAAGTCAGTTATTTCAGACTGGCGCATATACAACGCCACAAGGCAGAAACAAAGTTGCTTGCAGCCACCTCTAATCATGTGAATTAGAGGCTGGGGTAGACAGTTCTGTGGGATGAAAAGAAGACCCAATAGCTGTTCAATTGTGGTCATCATATTTGTTCTTGTGATACAGTCTCTTCTAATACAAGCTTTCATTATAATATAGTGAAATGATCGCTAGACTCAGATTCATAAACCTTGTTTTGAATCACTACTCTGTGACTTAGAAGCCATGTGTTATTCAATAAGTCACTAAAATCTCTGAACCTGAATACCATTATCTCTAAAACTAGCTTCAATAATACATGCTCTAACCATCCATTGGGCTTTCATGACCAAAAGATTATAAATAAATTATTACGAGTGAATAAAATGAGATAATGTATGTGAAAGCTCTTTCAGAAACTGTAAGTCAATGCAATTTTAAGTTGTTTGCAGTGTTTAAACAGCAATTTCTCCCATCCCTTTTCTAACTTCTCAAGTTAGATGCATAGATCATTAATTTTCATTCTTTCCTCCTTTTAAATATAGAATTAAATGCTATACAATTTCACTTTAAATAAGACAGCTGAATCCCATGAGTCTCGAAATGGTTATTTTCATTATCGTTCAGTTCTAAATGTTTCCTAATTTCCATTTTTATATAGTCTTTGTTCCATGAGTTTTTTAGATATGGTCTTTTAAAATTCTAAATCTACATATTTAAAAAATTTATATTTATACTTTTCCTATTGGTTTCTAACACAATTCATTGTGGCTAGATAATGAGGTCTGTATTTTTTAAATATATCACGGTAGATTGTTACTTTGGTGGCTCCAAGTGAGCCACAGTTCCCTTTATTCAGTACCTTCCATAGTATCTCTACCATACTGACTCTTGGCTTGGCTATATGATAAGCTATGGAAAATGGAACATTAGCAATCATGGTATAAGATGGAGCTTGAAAAGCACTGGCAGTTAGAGTTTGTCCTCTTGGAACATTCCTTTTGGGAACCCAACTATCATGCTGTGAAAGGCCACTTGGAAAGACCATGTATTTTGGTTATCTGTTGTTGTGTAACAACCCCCCCCCCCACAAATTTAATGGTTTAAAAACAACAAATTCTTACTTCTCTTTATTCTATGAGTTGCTAGGTGGTTCTTCTACTTAATGTGGTAATGTCAGCTGGGGCATTGGGGCAAAGTGTCCAAAGTGGCTTCATTCATTTAACTGTCAGATGTCTGAAAACATAGTTGGGCGTGTTGGCCAGGGGCCTTGCTTTCTTCCCAAATGGTTGCCTGGGCTCCCTCCCAGCTTGGCAGCTGGGTTCCAAGCAGTGTTTCAAAAGGATATAACATTACTTAACAGCAGAACCAATACTCCAAGGGGGAAAGGAGCAAAGAGGCAAATATCACAATG